TTGTTGGGTTTTTTAAGGTGTAATTCCAATACAATATCTGATGTGCATTATTTAAATTGCTTAACGGAGGATTATAGCCTATGATCGAAATACGCTCTGGTGCATCGGTTAAAATCAAATCTAAGGTATTGCCTTCTGACAGTGTCCCTGAATTAAAGGTTGGTTTTGTGACGTTTTGAGTCAAAAAGTTATCATTTAAATTGTCTAAAAAAATTTGTGCTTGTCTATCATTTTTTAACACTGTTTGGATATTCTCATCATTCTCATTCCATTTTATATTTGGGTAATTTAGGTCTCCGGCTAAGAGTAGACCTGAATATTTGTTGCAATCAACACTTTTTTTAGCTATATTTATTATTTTATTTATTTTTTATTTATTTCTATTCTGTAGCATCTGGTGGACGATATATGCTACCAATTAAGATATTCTCATTTTCTGTTTTAATGACACACCAGACTTGTTCAACTGTCATTTCTTCAGATGCTTGGTCATATGGAGTATAAGCAATGTATTTATTTTTAACATAAATAGCTACACCTCCGCCATGAGATTTAGTTGAATTAGATTTAGATCGATTGTTGTAAAAAACATACCCGCTTACATTTATGGCACTTGACGAGTTAAACCAAGTTTCAGTTACAATAAATATGTCAGGATTATACACTGATATTTCTAACAAAAACAAATCGAACTTATTGTTAAGTGAAGTCGCATTTGTATATCTAAAAGATAGATGGTATTTGGGTATTGATTATTTTAAACTTGCATATTATGCAAAATAAAAAGCAACTTGCATAATAAGTAGAACTTGCAAATTATATAAATATATATATATATATATATATATATATATATATATATATATATATATATATATATATATATATATATATGTATATATATATAAATATAAATATATATATATATATATATATATATATACATATATATATATATATATATATATATATATATATATATATATATATATATATACATATATATATATATATATATATATATATATATATATATATATATATATATATATATATATATATATATATATATATATATATATATATATACATATATATAAAAATAACTGTTTTAGAAAGTTAATAAATACTAAAAAAGCTGAATCATATCAAGGTTAACAAGTGCGTTGCATATGGTTGTAAAACTGGACACAACAGTTCTTTAGAAGATAAAAAAATTGCTTCTTTTCATTTTCCGTTAAAAAATCAACAGTTACTGAATTATTGGGTTCATTTTGTTAATTGTACTGATTGGGTGCCTTCACCAAACTCCGTTTTGTGTGAAAAGCATTTTAATGAAAAGTTTATCACCCGTGGTAAAAAATGCAAGTTAAATTGGAATCTAGATCTTATTCCTGAAATTTTCTCCAGTGATTGCTTAAAACGTCTTTCCACATTACCATCGCCTATTGCTTTGAGAAGACCACCTAAAAGTCGTATTTTTCAAGAAGATGAACTAGTTCTTTTTTTGAAAATGATAAAGTTACTGAATGGACCATGTTAAGTATTAAACATTCACCAGAAGGAATCCAATTTAAAAAACATCTCAATTGTGTAGTTTATTATAATTTAATATTTGATCCTATTAGCATTTTTCCATCAATTTTTGAATCAATAAAAATTGATTATTGCTTATGTGTAGCTTTGCAATATAAAGGAAATAATGTTCCACTTCCTCCATGGTTATCTAAAGGTCGTAATTCTAAATTAATTAGTTTGAGTATGTTAGAAAATCTTGCAGCGTACATAAAAAATACCGCTTCTAATAGAAATATACTTCTTGATGAAATAAATAGTCGAACATACTATAAAGCCAAGGGTCAACCACAATATTCTGCTGATATGATTAGACATGGTTTATTATTAAGATATACTTCTAAACAAGCATATGAAATTTTACTAGAATCATTTCCATTACCTTCAATTTCTTTGTTAAATAAAATAAAACTAGGTGGAGTTGATGCAATAAAGGCTGTTAAAACACTTCGTGAGAAAGGTTCAACACATGAAGATGTAATATTTATTGTAGATGAATTTTATCTTCAGAAACAAGCACTATATTGTAGTGGTATTTATGTGGGTGCAGATGATACAGGTACTTTGTCCAAAGGAGTTGTTGCATTTATGATAGTTAGCTGAAAAAAATCAATTCCTTTCATTATTAAAGCGATACCTGAAGTTAACATTAGTAGTAAATGGCTTTCAGATCAAATATCCGATTCTATTAGTTCTCTTTCGCTATCTGGTTTTAAAATTCGAGGTGTTGTTACCTATAATCATAAATCGAATGTAAGTGCATTGAGTTTGCTTCGTTCCAAATTTGGTAATCAATCAAATTTCTTTATTAATCATCCTGATAGTCCAAATGCTAAAATATACTTATTTTATGATAGTGCTCATCTTGTTAAAAATATCAAAAATAATTTATTACACTGTAAAAAATTTGTCTTTCCATCCTTTACATTCAATATAAAAGATGATTCTAATAATTGTCCAGCTGGCTATATTACTTGGGGAGATTTTCATCATCTACATTCTAAAGATGAGAAACTTCAAGGCAATTTACGAAAAGCTCCAAAAATTTCATATCAGAGTCTTCACCCTGATAACAAAAAGCAAAACGTTTCTCTTGCACTATCAATTTTTGATGAAACAACAATTGCAGGTTTCAAGAGTTATTTTCCAGAACGTAAAGACATTTCTGGTTTTCTTACAATTTTTCACAAATGGTGGACTATTTCTAATTCTAAAGAGCGATTTAGCCCAAATAAACTTGGTAATGCAATTATTCTTAATGATGGTAAAACAACTTTTTTTCGAAAATTAGCTAATTGGATTGAACTTTGGCAGAAATCTCCATATTTTACCTTATCACAACAAACATCATCGGCTCTCATCACAACTCTCTTATTTTAGCATGTCGGTCATTAATTAAGGAGAATATAAATTTTTGGGATGAAGATCTAAAAAACAACCACAATAACCCAATTAATAATGAATTACTGGCATATTAGATTTAAACTCAAACGAGATATCTGAATCAACTCTCTCACCTGAAACAGAAGAAGTTGCAACAATAATAGCATGTTACATTGCTAAAAAATTAATCAAAAGAAGCAAATGTAATTATTGCAAACCTTTGCTAGCTACAAATACAAGCAATATAATTATTTGTCCATATCTACAAATACTTTCCAGAGGTGGTCTTACAGTACCATCACTTTCACTTAAAGATTTTACATGTGGATGTTTTGCAGTCTTAGATAACCTTTCAGATTTAATAACTAAACAAGGTGCTAATGTCAAAGACGTATCAAGCTTTGCTTTATCAAAATACTTTCCAACAGTTTATTTTACCTGTGATATACACAAAAAATGGGGTTTTAATTTTGCTTCTAAAATCATAATTAATGTTTTTTTTAACAATAAGCAGAACTTAATCAATGCTACTGTACGAAAAGATGCTGTTAAAAGTTTTAAAAGTAGACAGAGAGAAAAATAACCCTATATATATATGTATATATATATATATATATATATATATATATATATATATATATATATATATATATATATATATATATATATACCTATATATTTATATATATCTATCTATATATATATTATATATATATATGTATATATATATATATATATATATATATATATATATATATATATATATATATATATATAAATATATATATATATATATATATATATATATATATATATATATATATATATATATATATATATATATATATATATATATATATATAAATATATATATATATATATATAAGTGTTCTTAAATGTTCCAATAAAATAGTATAAAAATACTTGTCTAAGCTTTTTTCTACTGCCCGTTTCTACTTCAACTGGATCATCATGAAGATGATTGCGAAACACTTGAAAAAACGAAAAGGTAGATATTTTGCCTTCTTCTAGTTAAATAGTTGACTTTATCTTTACGATTGCTCGGCAGTTATTAGTTAGCAATCCACGTGGCTAAATCGCTGTCTTTATTATTACGAGTTGTCACTAACTTCTATGGCTAGCTGGTCGTTAGCTTACATAGTTAGTTTATATAGCCAGCTAGTCGCTAGCTTATATAGCTAGCTAGTTGCTAACTTTTGTAGCTCACTAGTCTTTAACTTATCTGGCTAGCGATCTTCGTGGCCAAATCTTTGTCTTTATCGTTACGAATGTTGCTAGCCAATATCCAACTGGGTTATTTTAGGCCGAATCTTTACTTTAGTATTTGCAATTTTACGATCTGTGCATAACATATACATAACAGGTTTTTTATACATATTATGTTGGTTGAGTAAGTAAAAAATATAACACGATAATTTTAGGTCTTCCAAAGTAAAGTTCTATTTTTTTTTTTTTTTTTTTTTTTTTTTTTTTTTAATTCACCTCCTCAAGGCCGAGAAGGCCACAGACGAGGAGGCTACTTATTCGTGGCTATAACCCTCTCTCTCAACTCTATAACTCCGAAACACGAACCTTTGACAAACAAGGCCGCTGCGCGGTACTACCAGGGACGTGGTGGGGATCGAACTCGGAACCACTCGTTTATGAAGCGAGCGCTCTACCACTACACCACTACCGCATATTTAATCATAGTCATAGTATTTTACAACTGGCGTTGAGGTGACGAGTCACCTTGTTATATTCATCGTTTCTTGCAAAACAAACACATAAATATATTTCTTCACTATGGTTAGTATAAATTAAATTAGGTAGTCTAATGCTTGAACTAAAATTGAGGTCTGTCTCAAACAAATAGCAACTCAACAGCAGCTAAAACAGCATCGAACTCATTCAAATTTTTAAAGTCTACGTTACAAAAAGTCATCCGGTCACCCCTTAAAGCTCAAGTTATTTTACGAACTCTATAGAAAACGGCCCGCGCTTCCAGTCTAATTAAATACTATGACTATGATTTAATAAATCAGATATTTGACTAATCAGACATCTGACGTCACATTCGTCACTGTGGCGTAAATTATTTCGGCTGGCATATTTAACATAAGATTAAAACTAGTTAAATCTGGTGTTCTTATAGAGGGAAGGGGTCCTTTTTGAAATTATGAACCAATTCGTAATCTCAGTTTATTCGACAGACAAAAATTGGTATCGTGTAACTCATATTTATTTTGAAAAAGTTAATAATTGTTAAAGTAAATTTTTTATTACAATTAATTTTACAAAATTATACCTAAACTTACTATAAAGAAATCTTAGTTTAAAAGGTAAACAGTTTAGTGGTCTATTTCCAAATTCAAAATATATAAAGAAAAATTCTTTTAAATAACTTTGATTTATAGGAACCAATGGGCTAATTTTAGACACCACATTCAGAACTTTGGTACCCACCAATAAAATGTTGCCCGCAGTGTCTATATTAAATTAATAAACATAATGTACGAAAAACATTAGGTTTAAAACATCAGAGCCATTTAAGCTAATCAAAATTTAAGAGGCTAAATTATTTAGAAGTTTTGATCTGAAAGCCAAGTATACTTTTTTCTGTGCAGTTAATTAAATTATTAAAATTATGATGATATTTTAATAAAGTATAAAATAACTATATTAAAGTATTAAATATTTAAGATTTTTCTATTTTAAATCATAAAAAGAGTTGTTATAAATCAAATTTACATGCTATTACTTGATTGATTGCCAAAGAATTTAAGAAGGTAGTAGGAAAAAATGAATCTTCATTGTTCTTTATGCCTGGATCATGGTGCAATCTGCACCATAAACATTCTGACTGATTTTAAAAGTCTGCTATTCAAATATTTGAATATTTATTTATGCACTTGTAGTAGATATTACAAATTTTACTTTTCCTCAAAGGCTTCTAAAGGTCTTTTAGGTTGAGGAGAAGCTTCATCACTCTGACAAATTTATGTATAGATTTTTATGATTGCATGTGTGAATTCTTATATTAATGATAAAAGAATTAATTATATTATAAATTATGTTTTTTATTTTAATGCTGCTATAAAATGAATTTATTACTGCACAACAATGCAGTCTAATTATTTTACGTTGATTTTAGAAATTATTGAAGAAAGAAGTTGTTTTACGCGTTGAGAAATTTTAATCATGGTGATATTTTATACTAAGTTAATTTTAGTAATTGTTATTAAGTTATGTTACTAATGCCATTTATTCACATTTATTTATTTTGTTTCTTTAAATATAATATATATTTATATAAAACTAATGTTTTATGCATTAATATGTAGAAATGTTAAATGTTTGCACAAATCTTTCTATTTGAGAGATTTTTCAAATAGAGCTTTGCTGATTTTTTCAGTTTTTGTTGTGATTATTTAAGAATAATAATTGTATTTTTAAGGTTAGACGTCCATCAGCTTATTATACCACCGATAAGCTTAACATAAAAACATAAGCAGTTACAAAGTGGCCTAACAAAAGGCAGCAAAAAATAAGATTAACATGCATTTAATATATTTAATTCCTTAATTCACAAAAAATATTTTTATTACATTTATTGCTCCAAGATAAAATAGAGTATGTGTTTGCTTGTTGCTTTAAACAGAGTTGTATTGTATTGATATTTTTTGTTAGAACTTAATTCCTAATGTTTAAAACAAATCAAGTGTACTGCCAATTGTAAATCAGTGACAAGTTTTTTACAAATTTATTTTATGGGATCTCGGTGGTTTCCCCTGGACAGTACAATTAGAAAACATTAATAAAAAGAGAAGACAATAAAAATCTCAGAAAATTAATAAGGATCATTTTTTAGTAATACAAAATAATTTTTCTTAAAAAACTAAAATAAACAAAACTGTTTTTACTTTATTTTGGGTTATTTAAAAACTTAAGTTTTTAGCATTAATATCCAGAGAACTAAATATAACAAATAGTTTTGGTATTGGCAACACCACTCATCATCCCAATAAATTTAAAGTTACATATTCAACACAAATTGTTCTGTTTATCTCGTTTATGCTTGATACTTTTCTTATGCTGACACTCTTATACTTTATCTCTCTTCTGTAACAAATTAAGGCTCACAGTGGCTTGTGAATTTTAATTCCAGCAAAACTCATATATTTTCTGCAAACAATTATTGCAATATTGTTAATATTCCAATATTGACAAATTGCAACACTCTAACTGAGTCCGCTTCTGTATGTCTTCTTAGATTATCATTCACTACTGACTTCTCATGGACTTGCTTATTCTGCCAAGTTTGAGTCGATTTTCCATGGTCTTAAGATTGCATCTTTTTCTCTTTTTTACAAATTCTTTCATGGTCACTGGTCAAATGAGCTATCAGTTCTAGTTCCTTAAAATCTCTCTTAAAATCATTCTTGCTTGACTTGTTGCTTTTTGTCTCACCTGAAAACTCACAATCTTATTATTGCCAAAACTAGCTGTGCTTCTACAATGCTAAAACTCTCAAATGTTTTAAAAAAGGTTATTCTATTTCCAAACAAAATAAAAAATGAATAACTCCTATTTTCAACATCAGGTCTAAGAAATACTTCAATCTATGCCCATCTGGTTTGAAACCAGGACAAAAATTGAATCCAACTCAGTAAAAGAACAAACATTGCTTAAGTCCATTTTTGAAACGGTTATTCTTGACATGTAACTATTCTCAGTTGTTTGCGACACCATGCCATAATAAGCTCCAACTTATGAAATTGTAAGTAAAATATATTACATAAAATATAAAAAATAGTCTTCATGCATGGTCGAACCTTTATCATGTTTATTTGAGAATTCATTTGATTTCACTCAGAACAAATTTCAAAAAACTTAGAACAAAGGTTCTGTTGGTTCTTCAAGTTTGGTGACACAACAAAAAATATTTATATAAAAATTCATGAAGCAGCTGAAGACTGATATTACTTCAAAAATTGGTGTTTGTTTAAGAGACAATGCTGCTAATATTGGAATAGTCTTTAATGTGTCAGCATCTCAAACAGGTTTTTTATAGAGCTCTACAAACAGTAAGAAGTCCAGATAGGCAACAAAACTCAACTTTTTATATGCTACAAGAGTTTTAGTTCTTATACCTGGAATTATCACCACCTCTGTTTATTTCCATCCTCTGGCATTCAGTTTTTACAGCAAGACTAGAATGTTTGAAAAGTCAAAATGTTGCTTATTTTTGAAGAAGCCACTAAACAGCTTTCTGGAAGTGATTATTGCATCCCTATTGTGACAACTATAGTTAAGTAAAGATAATAACATGATTGCAATATCGCTTGCAATATAATGAAATTCATTTCAGGATCATTGAACTAATTAAGCTTTACTCCGTTGCAACTTTGCTTGTTCTAAGGTTCAGTAAGAGAACCAAGGGGTGAATATGCATCTCTTCCCCACCAGAATCTGAAAGTCCTAAAATACCTAAGAAATTAAGGACCTTTTTTTTTTTTTTAGGAGACGCAAATGTGGTACAAAATACACAAATATTTCAACATACCCCTCCCCCACCAAAAATTGGTCACTATTAAGGTTCAAACAGTATTTTTTCCATTCCCTTAATGCATATAATGTTGCCCAAAAAAAAACCAACCTTGACATAACTGGATTCTATACTAAATTAAGTTAGAAACTCTGTAATAATAGATTCTTTGCCAAGAATCAAATATTATTTTCATCAAGTTAGAATCTAATAATCATCAAGTTAGTCTAATATAACGGGTTTTAAAATTTGATAAAAAAAAAATCATCATAACTCAATCTCAATCAACAATAGATTAAAGATCAAATTATAAACTGATTGAAGAATGCTAAAATTACCATTTACATCATCATTAACTAATATGGAAAGTTTATTTTCAACAGTTGGAGATATAATAATTAACAAATAATACTATTACCAGATAACCTGGAAAAAATCTTGTTTTGTAGAGAAGATCTAATTTATATAGTCAACCTTATAAAACTTTGTGTAATCATTTGAAACATAATATGTCTAAATAAACAACAAGTGTAAAATTGCAGTTTTAGGTAATGTTTTCTAATAAAATTAGTTTTGTTTAGCTGAAATTTTGGTATTAGTTTCAGTAAAATGTTTGCTGTTCAAATATTATTAAGATTATATATATACCCAAAATTTTTTTATTAAGATTATATATATACCCAAAATTTATATATATATATATATATATATATATATATATATATATATATATATATATATATATATATATATATATATATATATATATATATATATATAAAATAAGTTTTTATATAAATTTGTTTTTTCAGTCTAAAAAAAGAGGATTGAGTTTAGAGGAGAAAAGAACAAAGATGCTTGAAATATTTTTTGAAAAGGTTTAATTTAACAAATTTTAATTATTCTTATTTTTTAAAAAAATGTTGTCAGTATATTTAAAAATATACTGATTTTTATTTGTTTAGTATTTGTTTAGTACAATTTTTATGCACTTTTTATTATTGATTATTTGTTACCTTTTAGAATGTGTGTGTGTGTATGTGTGTGTGTATATGTATATATATATATATATATATATATATATATATATATATATATATATATATATATATATATATATATATATATATATATATATGTATGTATATATATATATATATATATATGTGTGTATATAATATGTATATATATATATATATATATATATATATATATATATATATATATATATATATATATGTATATATAAATGTGTGTGTGTATATATATATATATATATATATATATATATATATATATATATATATATATATATATATATATATATATATATATATACATGTTCTTTCAATTTATATTTGCATTTTCAAAAGATTTGTTTTACAATAAAAAATTCTTGAATTAATAATAAAAAAATATTTAAGGGAAATAATTATTTTTGTTTTTATTAGTCTGCTAGTTTAAATATTAATTGATTTTTTTGTTATTGTAAAATAAATTATTTAAAAGTTTAAAAATAAATTTATCAAACAATTAAGAATAAAAAACATTGTTAGCCTTTTTCATCAAAATAAATAGATTAATAAATAAAAAACATTTAAAAAAAAAAGTATATTTTAAAAATATACTGATTTTTATTTGTTTAGTATTTGTTTAGTACAATTTTTATGCACTTTTTATTATTGATTATTTGTTACCTTTTAGAATGTGTGTGTGTGTGTGTATGTGTGTGTGTGTATAGGTATATATATATATATATATATATATATATATATATATATATATATATATATATATATATATATATATATATATATATATATATATATATATATATATATATATATATATATATATATATATATATATATATGTATATATATATATATATATATATATATATATATATATATATATATATATATATGTATATATATATATATATATATATATATATATATATATATATATATATATGTGTGTATATAATATGTATATATATATATATATATATATATATATATATATATATATATATATATATATATATATACATGTTCTTTCAATTTATATTTGCATTTTCAAAAGATTTGTTTTACAATAAAACATTCTTGAATTAATAATAAAAATATATTTAAGGGAAATAATTATTTTTGCTTTTATTAGTCTGCTAGTTTAAATATTAATTGATTTTTTTGTTATTGTAAAATAAATTATTTAAAAGTTTAAAAATAAATTTATCAAACAATTAAGAATAAAAAACATTGTTAGCCTTTTTCATCAAAATAAATAGATTAATAAATAAAAAACATTAAAAAAAAAAAGTTCCTTTACTGTAGTTTCTTCACTGGCTCTATGAGGTGAATATATTTTTAAAAAATATCATTTTTATTAAGAATAATTTTTAAAGTTTTTATTTTTATTTTGAAAATTTTAGTATATTTAACATATATTAGTATTTTAGTATATAATATTACATAAAGCTGTAGTAGTTCAAAAACTACAAGTGAACTTCACTTGTAGTTTTTTTTAATAGTAGTTAAATTTATCAATATTGTTATATTATTTCGCTAATGACATTTATTAAATTTTTTTACTTTTGTAAGTTTTTCTCAATCAAACCAGAGAATATAAATAATACTTTTTAAAGTCAATTAAAAAGTTTACTATAGATCACTCACAGTTATTTTTTATATAATTTATTACTTATGGCATTAAAAAAGTCTTTTAGTGTAATCTTCTACATTTTTGTTTTCTTGAAAGAAATTTTTGTATTTTTTTTTTTTTTTTAGAAAACATCCCTTCAGCTGGAAGAGATTGAAAAAATTGAACTTTTTTTTTTTAGAAAACATTCTTTCAGTTGAAAGAGATTGAAAAAATTGCACCAAAGGAAAAAGGAATAAGTATGTAATAATAATTTTTTTTTTTTGTTTGTTTTAATAAATTGAACTTTTTTTTTGAAATGGTAAGCTATAGTCATAGATTATTCATGCGTTAAATAAAATTGGATTTAAAATGCTAGTGACAAAAAAATTTTTTACTACATCGAAAATTTTTTTAAGTGAAAGTATATATTTAGCATTAAGAGAATAACATTAAGAGAGTTTCTAAAATCTGTGATTTTTTTCCTTAAAATGCATTTATTTAATTAAAAAAAAAATGAAATTTTACACTTACACGCAAATAAAAAACTTGTTTTTGGTATTTTTAGTCTATTTAGACCTTAAAGAATAGGAAGAACTTGAGGGTTTTTTTTTTTTTCAGTACACCCTAATATGTTTATACATTATTATTTTATTAGTGTTTTAGTAATTTTTTGCATTGATTGCATTTTAGCGCCAATGTCTGTGAAAGAGGTCCTCCAAAGTTTAGTTGATGATGGTTTGGTTGATTCGGAAAGAATTGGAACTTCAAATTATTTTTGGTCATATCCAAGTAAGGGGATTCAAAATGTAAGTTCTAATCATTTTTTAAATGCCTTATTAAAACATATTTAAATTAAAATAGATGATCTCATTAAATTTTGTCATTAAATATCTTTGTAAAGCTTGGCAATTGCCTTTCCATCTCTTTGCTCATCTTTAGTGAATATATTAATCTTAAACCATGGTATTTTAATATGTGTGCAAATCCAATTTAGTTTGTATTATTCTTTGTATGCTTTATTTATTTACAAAAAATTAGTGTTTCACAATAAAAGTGAAACTTGAAAAAGCAAAAAAGAACAAAAACTTGCAAAACTATTTGATTTTTGTACTTATAAAATTTGTGGCTTTTTTTATTAACTTTGTTTCAAACTGTTTTTATTTTGAGGTAGCTACTGTAGTAGATACTGCTAAAACTTTCTATTATCTATTATAAATCTTTCTAATATCTCCACAATTTTTCCATCATATGTCTCTGCAATTTTTCATTATATGCCTCCACAATATTTCCATTATGTCTCCACAATTTTTCCATTATATGTTTCCACAATTTTTCCATTAGTCTTCAATTGAGTTTTTTCATTAAAATACTTGTCACCACAATACTTTTCAGGTAAGCAGTGTAGTTCTGGTTGAGCAAGTTTTTTACAATTTACAATAGTTTCTTTGGGTATCTGTTTGTCCCATGTGTTAATTAAAACCAGTGTATAATTTCTTTGTGTAAGGAAGAGATATCGGAAAGCATTGCATAATTATATTTGCATTTACTACTGTGAATGTTGTTATATTCTTGGACATGAAGTTAAATAACTGTTAATTTAGTGTAGTCTGGTATCATCTGAGTAATATGGTGAAGTCAGAAAAACAATATTTTCTGAACTCTAAGATAAAAAATCAAATTTTTAGCTATGCCCATTTGATAATCTTTTAATAATTAACTTGTAGTCTGATGTCTTTTTCATTTAAGTTAAACTAAGATCAATCCTGGGGTTTAGGCTGCTAGGGACTTAAACAAGTTGTGCTTAATAACTTAAACAAGTTTTTAGATGATGTCACACATGATTGAAATACTGTATGTATGTGTGTATCAAGATATTGATAATTATATTATTTTATAACCTGATTATTTTTTGAACTTTTTCCGACTGACTTTTTTTTTACTTCAGAATAAATACTCTGCTTTTTTTAGTATCACTTTTTTTTTTTTTTTAGATATCTTTGTTTTATCTTTGTTTTAAGTTCACATAAGGATGTTTATTTTAGTAAATGTTTTAGCATCGATAGGTTATCTAAATTGTCTTTTTTTTTTTTTAACTTGCAAACAAACATTTTTAAATTTTGAATTTTAAGTTTTGATTATTGAAAGTAGCTAAATTTTTGTTTGTTTTGCAACTTTTTGAGATACCTAAATTTTTACTGTTATCAGTTGCAATGTCAAAAATCAAATCAAATGTCCTTGATTTTTTAATATTTTAAGAAATCTATTACTTACTAAGTAGTAAAAACAAAAAAAAAATTTCTTTAATTTTATTAATTAATGTTAATAAATGTTATTCATGTTTTAATTATATAATTTTACCAGCGAAAACGTAAAGTTGAATCACTTAATCAACAAATTGATGAATTAAAAACTCGAAAGTTAAATTATGGAAAAAGTGTAGAAGAAGCCAAAGAAGGAAAAGATTTGTCTGTAAGTGTTTTCATCTTTGGGGTGAATTAATTTTACTTTGCATTGAAGTGTGTGTGTGTGGGGAGGGGGAGGGGTTAAAAAATTTTTCCAAAAGTTTGGAAAATATTTTTAACACCTGCTAATTTTAATGCAAGTTTTTAAAAAACATTTATTTTAAGTAAAAATTTTATTTAACTTTTTTTTTTTATATACCTAAAAAAAGATGTTCCAGTATTAAAATAAAAAGGTTAAGATATTCCTGTAAGTGTTTTTGTCTTTGAAGTTTTTGTATCAAAATTTTTTTAAATTTTGATACAAAAAGTTTAAACCCTTTTTTTCAAACATTAAAGTATTTGGGTTTCAAATTTATTTTGCAATTTTTTTATTTAATTTGATGTCTAATAATTTTATGGGAATTTTATACTTCATACTTTTCTCCATTTCGTGATTTCATTGTGATTACTTTTTGATGTTAGGATGAACGTGTCAAAGTGTTAGAAAAGTTAAATAAGCTGGAAGAAGAAAACAAGAAATATAAAAACGAACTTACTAAATACAGTGATTGTGATCCAGAGTTATTGAAACAACTAGAAGTTGACGTAAGTGTTGCAACCGAGGCAGCAAATCGTTGGACTGATAACATCTTTTCATTGAAGTCGTGGTGTGTCAAAAAGTTTAACATGGAGTCTAGTGTTATTGACAAACAGTTTGGTATACCAGAAGATTTTGATTATATTGTTGGTTAGTCTTTAAAACATAATTAGTCTTTATAACATAATGTTGTTTATTATTTACTTGTTCTAGTATTAAAAAAAGTCTTGTATATTTTGTTCATAAATTATTAAAACATATTTTATGGATTATATTTTTTGTTTTTATGGTTGTGTTTTATAAAAACATATATTTGTTTTTGATTTTTTGTCTTTTTAATTTGGTTTTTATTACTATTTAACAAAGTTTGGAGATCATCCCAGCATGTTGTTTTTTTCTTTATATACATATTTATAAGAGTATTAACATGAATTGTTTTTTATTTATATTTATTCATTTGAACATTTGTCTAACTTCTTTTTACTGGCAGTTTCAATTATGAAGCAGTTATTAGGAAATTGGTGAATACAGCCAGTAGAAGAATGATGTTAGATAAAGTTTGATATTTATTAGACTTTTTGATATTCATTCAACTTTTTAGATTATTCGACTTTTTTATGTTATTAGCTGTTTTAGATATTAGAGTTTTACAGAGTATGTTATTTTTGATATAATGCAGGATAATAATGTTTAAAACAATAAAACATTAAAAGATATTTTGTTTAAATTTATAAAAATAAGAAAAAATACAACAGGTAAATATGAAATACAATAATACAATCAGCAGTACAATTAAAAGAAACATCATCATCATCATCATCATCATCATCATCATCATCATCATCATCAATATTAATTTGTTAAAATAACTTATTTTTACAGATATATATATATATATATATATATATATATATATATATATATATATATATATATATATATATATACACACATATAACAATGTTTATTATTTAATAGTGTTTTAAATTTAAAACATAATTATTGTCTTTCAAAAGTAACTTTTTCTTAAACTTGTTTATAACAAGTTTAATTTTCATATCTGACAATTAAATCTTTTAAATTTTTTAAATGTAATAAAAATAACCGTATTTTTATTTGGATTAGATTTTTTTTTTTGAATGTAAAAACACTTTTTTTTAGTAAGTATTACTCTTCATTATATATATATATATATATATATATATATATATATATATATATATATATATATATATATATATATATATATATATATATATATATATATATATATATATATGAGGAACTTCATTAATTTTTTTTCTATAGTTGCTTAATATGAATTCTGCAGAGCGTCTTAAGCAAATGAAAGAAAGATCCAAATTACGACGCAAACTTCTTGCTCAACAGTTTGGTTTAAAAGATGAACTAAACTTTGGAAATATATTGGGTAAAAAAGAAGACACAAATCAGATAGTTTCAACTAAAAAAAACTCCACAGTTATTTCTTCAGTACCAGCTGATACTATTCAAACAAGTATAATTTTTTGGTGAAAGATAAAAATTTAATTGGTTTAATTAAATCTTTATCTTTATTTTAAAATTGAATATTTCTTTATAATTAATTATAATTAATTATCATTAACTATAATTAATGAACATTAATTATAATTAATTATAGAATAGAATTTAAGATTTAGATTTTTTTTTCATGTGAATTTTTATTTTGAGTATTAGTTCTTTATCATTATTTCTCTAAATTTGAGATGATATTTGTTAATTTTTTTTTATCAATTTTTTTTTTTTTTTTCATTATGCACATGGTGTATTAATCTTTTAGAGTTGTTTTTATTATCATTATAAAATATAATTATTTTTATTATATGATTGATTATACTATAAAACACAATTTTTGTCTTTAAAGACAAAGTGTTATATTTCAATGTAGTTTCACATTATATTTTTGTTGTACTGTATTTGATAATGAAACTGAAAGTCTAATATATATCTTGATGAAAGCACTTAATTTGCTCCTTTGAGTAAGCTTCCATGTTCTCCTTAAAATTATCAATATGAGTGTTAAGTAGTATATGGAGTGGCATTCTGCATCCAAATTCTGTATAATTCTTTACGAGAATCTCAATTTTCAGCATTATATAATCCAGAAAAGCATAAAAATTGCATTGATCCTGTTTAGAAGCTTAGCAAACTAACCACATTCTATAATCTTCATGATCTGTGGTCAGACAAAGATACTAGCTCTACTTTTAGCCTTAGACAGCTTTTAAAAAAATCTTGGAGGTATCTGGAGGTGTCCAATCCTGGTCAAGAATAGTGAATTGTTTGCTGAGACCTAACTCAATGTTAGTCTGAGACCTAACTCAGTGGTGGCATAAGCATTTACTGAAGTTCTATCAATGACTCCCAGTTCACATTGGTCTTGTCCCCACAGAACTTGTTCTGTTGTAGCCGGTCTTTTCTGTGGCTGCCAAATTTGTTTTTTTTCCCTAAGGATAGCTGATCTCTCTAAGGGGGAGTGGTAGTTTTGGCAATAAATCAAGGAGTCTGGATAAACAATTTAAAGTGTATTCTTGCCTGAGCAATGTCTTGTGAGATCAACAAAGTAGAAGTTGCAGTTGATTCAGTGTTTGGCGGCAACAACTGATTCACTTTTCATGAAGTCTGCGACAACTGTGAAATTGGCTCTCTATTCTCCCTTGTACCAATCCATAACATAGCTCATATAACTAGTTATATAAGTTTAAAGGCAGGAGAATTCATGTAGCGGTTTATACACACAATAGAGAATGTAAAATATTTTTCTATTGTACACTGATATATAGTAGTGTGCAAAAGTAACCGGACAAGGGCATAACTTTTGAATGAAGAGTTTAATATCTTGGACTTTTCATTCTTATTTAATCTAAGCAATCTAACCTTAAAAGTTCATTTTATTAAAATATGGGCATGCAAAAGTATCTGGGCAGAATTAAAATAATAAAATTCCAATATTTTTGTTGGTTTTTATTTAAATCTTAAAAATGGTAAATAAAATATAAAGTATTTTTAATTAAAAATAAGATTGTTTTAAATAAATTTTTAAAATAACAAATCGAAAAAATGCAAGATCAGCTATCAAAGAAGCGGTATTGTGTGCAATTGAACAAGGCAGAACTACAAGAGACATAGCGGATCAGTTTAATATAGGAAAATCAACACTAGTGGATATATATAAAAGCTATAAGGAAAGAAATAACAATAGAATCTCTAAAGTTAGGAAGGCCTCCAATTACATCTGAAAGACAAGATAAAATTTTAATTTGTACTGCAAAAAATGATCCACACAAAAATGCTGTTTTGTTAAATGCTGAAATTAAAGAGTTTTATAATGTAAAATGTAGTGTTTACACAACTAAGTGTTGTTTGAGGTCTGCAAATCTATTTGGAAGATGTCCCGCAAAGAAACTTTTTATTTCTATAAAGAATCGAAAAGCACACTTGAGATTTGCTAATAAACATTTGAATTGGTCAAGAGAACAATAGTCAAAAGTACTTTTTAGTGATGAATCTAAGTTTATATTATTTGGATCTGATGGTATTGAATATCTTTGTTGAAAAAAAGGCCATATAAGTGATACTAAATACCAGCTACCAATAGTATAGCATGGAGGTGGAAACGTTATGGTCTGGGGTTGCCTTAATAGATGTTGTGTCATTCCTATCCATTTGATTGATGGCTTAATGGACAAAAATATGTTAAATAATATATAAGTATATATATATATATATATATATATATATATATATATATATATATATATATATATATATATATATATATATGTATATATATATATATGTATATATATATATATATATATATATATACATATATATATATATATATATATATATATACATTATATATATATATATATATATACATATATATATATATATATATATATATATATATATATATATATATATATACATATATATATATATATACATATATATATATATATATATATATATATATATATATATATATACATATATATATATATATATATATATATATATATATATATATATATATATATATATATATATATGTATATACATATTATATATATATATATATATATATATATATATATATATACATATATAAATATATATATATATATATATATATATACATATATATATATACATATATATATATATATATATATATATATATATATATATATATATATATATATATATATATATATATATATATATATATATATATTAGGGTGGGTTTTTTTTTTTCAAAAAACTAGGCACAACCTCTAAATGTGTGCAAAATAATAAAATAACACTAGGTTTAAAATTTTTTAGAATAAAAAATATTTTAATGGGTCCCCCAAGACCCTTGAATATTTAACGGGTCCCTAATATTTAATAAAAAAATTTTTTTTACAAAAGTAGGTCAATCTGGTATTCAAATGAAGCGAAATTATATAAAAATTTCAAAAATAATAATTATTTTAAACAAAAATAATTTTTTCAACTTATTTATCAAAATGGAAAAAATTTTAACAATATACTTTTTTCATTTTTTGTTAAAAAATGTTATTTTTTATGCAATAAAACCTAAAGTAATTATTATTTTTTTAAAATTATTGTTTTTAAAATTTATATATAATTTCACTTCATTTGAGTACCAGGTTGACCTACTTTTAAAAAACTTTTTTTTTTTAAATTTTAGGGACCCGTTAAAAACTCAATGGTCTTGGGACCACACTCCCCTAAAACAGTTTACGAGAGCAATTTATGGCTCTCGCAAAAGTATAACTTTTCTCACAAAAGTACAATTATTGTTGTAACTAAAAAAAAATGCAATATTAATTTTAAAATTAATTGCTTAATATACTGCAATTGTTTTTAAAAAGCACAGCTATTTAAAATAAAAAATAAAAAGGAGCGCGGATTTAAATGAAGAGCAGCTCGCACAGCTCTCCAAGTTTGTTTTAGGAGAGCTTTTTTCTGCTCTCGTGTTCATTTATTCCCGTCGAGGTCTTTATATATATATATATATATATATATATATATATATATATATATATATATATATATATATATATATATATATATATATATATATATATATTTAAACATCTTCGCTTCCAACAAGGCTGCAAGCAACCACTAATTAGTGTTGGAAGTTACTGGAAGAGAAAAGATGAAGATTGTAGGGCAAGATGACGATTTATAGTCGACTTAAAAGATTGCAAATTATATGAATCAGGAAAATAAGATAAAGAAAGAGAATTCCAAAGAACTGACGTTTGAGGGAAAAAACTAGATGAATAAGAGTTTTTGGAGCACTTAGGAACAGTAACAGAAAAGAGAGGCTAGCTTTTAGAGCAGTGCCCATTATAGTATTTGTAGAAAGGAGAAAGAGAAGCAACATTACAACGATGTGACAAAGGTTGAAGGTTGGCTGCAAGAGCAGGTCCAACTAAGTTTACAATGCGTTTTTGCACCTTGTCTAAAAGAGAAAGGGCTTCATTAGAAGATTCGCCCCAGATATGGCAACAGTATTCCATACAAGGATGGATTTGAGATTTATAGAGATAGAGAATAGAATCCAGAGTTAGAAAGTGTCAAGCTCGATAAAGAGATGCAACTTTAGCAGATGCTATTTTTGCAATGGATTTGATATAAAGTTTCCAAGAAAGATCAGAAGTAAGAGTTAATTCTAGAAGATGAAGGGTAGATGACTCATCGAGTACATTACTGTTCATAAATATAGGAAGGTCTAAATTATTGCGATAATGATTTGCTGAAAAAAGTTGAGTTTTATCTGAATTAAAGTTCACCAGCCACTGTAAGCCCCATGCTGTAGCAGAAGTGAGATCCTTTTCAAGTTCAAATGCCCCCTGCAACCAATCAGAGGGAGTTGGCTTCTTATCGTGACAAGAATAAATGGTAGTATCATCAGCGAACAATGCCACCAATGCCACAATTTAAATTAAAATAAGTATAGGGTCAAGGATTGAACCTTGAGGAACCAGAATAAGAAGAAGGGTGCTGTTGATCAAGGACAACTTTTATACTGCGATTGGAAAGGAAGGATTCAATAATCTTGAAGATGTTTCCAGATACACCGTAAGAAGACAGCTTATGGAGAAGACCAGTATGCCAAACTTTATCAAACGCCTTAGATATGTCAAGAGCGATGGCCTTAACCTCTCCACCTTTATCTAATGCGCAATAAAACCTATCAGTTATTTCTGTTAGCAAATCAGCTGTAGCATGAAAAGATCGAAATCCATATTAGTGATCAGAAAGTTATTTGATTCAAGATGAGAGATTAAGTGTTTGTTAATTAAAGATTCAAAAACCTTGCTTATGATAGGAAGAAGATTAATAAGACAGTAGTTAGACGAATCAGATTGTTCTCCAGAATTTTTAAAAATTGGGATAACAGATGCTGCTTTTCAGCAGGCTGGAAAACAAGACTCTGATAAGTACTTGTTGAATAGTTTTGAAAGGATAGACAACAGCTCCAGAGAACACTTCTGCAAGACTATAACAGATATGTTGTCTGGGCCTCAAGCTATAGAAGAGTCTAAGCAGGAAATCATTTTAGATACAGTAGCTGGAGTGATACAGATGTCGACCAATGGATCAACCTGTTTGACGGCTATATCAGGTAGAATCCAACTAGTGGAATCAAGAGATGATATTGATGAAAAGTTCTTAGCAAATAATTCAACTTTGTCTTTAGGTGAGGTGATAAAGTCTGAACCATACAAAAGAGTTGGAATTACAGACTTGCCCTGATTATTGATACTATTAAAGATTCTCCAGAAGTCACCAGAGCCTAATTTTTGAGATGAAATACGAGATTTCATGATCTGAGAATAGCGGGCTTCGGCGTTAGATAAAATCTTTTTACAATGGTTTCTAGCAGTAATAAACAGATGTCTGTTTTCTGGAGAGTTTTTTAGCTGATAGATATGGAAGTAATGGTTTTGATTGGCAATTGCAGTAGCACAATGTGAGGAAAACCATGAAGAAGAGTGAGGCTTGACCTGGAATCGTAGAGAAGGAATAAAGGATTCCATGCCAGCCTGAATCCACGAAGTTATGTAAGGAGCACATTTGTCAACAGGAAGACGAAAGATTTCTACCCAAGGGCAATCACGAAGAAAATTACGGAAAGATTTCCAGCCAGCTTAAAGGTAGTTGTAAGATGTGCGATGATAGAGGAAGTCTGATGATAAAGAAGAATGAGATAATAGTTTTAGCGAGATCAAACGTGATCAGAGGCGTGAATGTGGAGAAACTGAGTACTGAATAGGATCAGAAACAAGACACAAGTCGAGTAGAGAAGTTAAATGATTCGGGTTGTCTTAGAGCTGTACCCTCGTTAGGAGATAATAGAATGAGTTGTCTAGTCATAAAAACAGAGACACAAGCAAAACTCATGCATCCAGTCAAGAAGATCCAGCATTCAACATCCTAAACTGGAAACAATGTATTAAAATACATCTGCGCCAGCCTAATAGATAAAAAAGGGGTGCGAGGCTGGTCAACAGATAGAATCTGTTTACCCCTTAAATCTTTGCCTAGGAGGCCTTCTACAAGACAGCAGCCGGATGCATTTAACATCTGCCTAAGATGAGTATTTTTATCGAGACACCATCTCTCTCTCTCTATATATATATATATATATATATACATATATATATATATATATATATATATATATATATATATATATATATATATATATATATATATATATATATATATATATATATATACTTTGTCAATTGAAATTTCTCTAAGTGAAAATCTACAAAATGCACACCTAAGCACAAAACAACTTTTTAACTTTCTCTTGAGTTTAAATACTGCAAGAGTTTCTCTTGCAGTATTTATGTATGAAATGCGGAGTCCAGGTCTTGTCTTTGGAACCACATTTGTCATGATTCCTCACTGCCTTGAGAGCCTTATACATTTTACGACTTGCTTCCACAGGATTCTTTTTTGATCTTGTTTTTATAGATTATCTTCACATGCAATAAAATGCATCTGCTGGATGCAAAAAACCTTTTTGTGCTATTCAAATTAAATATTTGCTCTCTTGATTTACTATTTTTTATTCACCAATGACACAAACTGAAATGTTGGTTCAAGTCACCTTTGCTTTTAACTTACATCACTGCTTTTGGGTAGTCAAAAAATATTCTAAAAAGATCTGGAAGTTTTTTGAAAGTTTTAGTAAATTCTGGAAATTTTTTGAACGTTTTAAACAATTTTAGCACTTTAGATAAATTAGAATTTGATTGAAAATAAAATTGAATACTAAGTTTAATACAAATCTTGAAAAACATAAATTTTAAAATATCGTTGTCCCAGTCACTGAAGCAAGAAGTCACTGAAGCAAAAAGTCACTGAACCAAGGTTTTTGCATAAACAGCTAGTTTCTATTTGCTTTTCTGCAAAATCAATTTTCACAGTTTCAATCCAAGGACAAAACCAACTAAAAAAAAGTTGTTTTCAACAAATGTATAAGTTTCAAACTTTTTAAAGTTTAAAGACTTATGAATTGAGCTGCATTTAGTTAATCAGATATGATTTTTTAACAAATTTTTAAATTTTTGATATATTTCAAAAAATATATATATATTAATAATTTTACCTTTTCATTTATTTTAAGCCAGTAGTGTTGAGAAAAATAATTCAAGCGACAGCAAGGAGAAGAAAGTGCAAATTTTAGATAATGAAGATGCTGTGGATTCAGTATACACTGATTCTAAAACATTTCTTAAAGGAACACATAGCTTAAATCCTCACAATGACTACTGTCAACACTTTATCGATTCAGGCTACCGACCTCATAATTTTATTCGAGATACAGGAATATCAGATCGTTTTGAAGAATATCCAAAACTAAAGGAACTTATAAAGTTGAAAGACGAAATTATTGAGCAACGAGCCACTCCGCCGATGTAAGGAAATGTTTTGTAAAATAATTTTATTTTTGGTACTGTTTTTATTACAGTTTGTTTTTAAGTTTTTAGTGGACTTACTTTACTGTAAAAATGCATATAATAACGTAAATTTAGCTTTTAAATAAAAGTATATTACTGTTAATCCTTAGTTGTATTTTATACCCTTCTGGCTCAATATTTTTTTTTTGTATTTATATTAGGTACTTACACTGTGATCTTGACACTTATGATCTAGCAGAGTTGAAGTACAAGTTTGACGTCATTTTAATTGATCCTCCATTAGAAGAGTACCAGAGAAGATGTCCAGGACTTATGTTTAATTGGAGACCTTGGAGATGGGAAGAAATTATTCGTCTTGAAATTAGTCAAGTTGCTGCGCAGCGTTCTTTTTGTTTCTTATGGTGCGGATCCTCTGAAGGATTAGATGAGGGTCGGCAATGTCTTAAAGCCTGGGGTACGTTTGTTTTTTGTTTTTTAAAATTAAATATGTTTTTATATTAAAAACTTTTTTATTTGGATTTTATAAGGAAGTATAATGAGAATGATTTTTTTCGCTCTTGTTCATTTTGCTATTTTAGGTTTTCGTCGGTGTGAAGATATCTGTTGGATTAAAACCAACAAAAATAATCCTGGTAACACTAAGTATATGGAGCCGATGTCCGTTCTCCAACACACTAAAGAACATTGTTTAATGGGTATTAAAGGAACTGTTCGTCGGAGCACTGATGGTGATTTTATCCACGCAAACGTTGATCTTGATATTATTATAGGAGAAGAGCCTGAGTATGGAAGCACCGAAAAGCCGGAGGAAATATTCAAGATTATCGAACATTTTTGTCTTGGTAGACGTCGTTTGCATGTGTTTGGTAACGATCATACTGTGCGTCCGGGTTGGGTTACTGTTGGCCCTGATCTAACGAGTTCAAACTATTCTTCTGAACAATATAACTCTTTTTTTAGCAGCTCCCCTGAAGATTATTTAGTAGGAAGCACAGACTTGATTGAACAACTACGCCCCAAATCGCCTCCCGCAAAAATTAAAAACCCTACTGTTGGCAATACAACAAGAGGTCGTGGTCGTGGGGACACCCAATCTTATGTGCGAGGTGTTGGTGTCCAAAGAGGAGGTTATTCTTCTAGAAATTATCTTGCAAAACCGAATTACCCTTCATAATAAAATTTTAAATAGAACTTATTATTTATTTAAGCAATTTTAATAAATTATAAAAAATTGTATTTTATGTAACCGCGCATGCCTATTTTAGAGTGATTATACATAGTTTATAAATTAGAATAGTAATTTAATAACTTAATAATGTAAGGCAAGGCCTTGATTTTAACTATTAGAGTAATTTCATATCTTAATTTAATCCTACAGCCATTTGGCAGATTTTTTCGCTGCTTTTTTCAATAAAAAACTCCTCTAATCTCTATTAAGTCAAATCTTTATATATTTTTAAATATACGAAAATGTGACATCGAGAGCTCGAGCGTTTGGGAATCAGCTCCAAAGTTAATAAATTTAAAAAAATTTAAACATCAGGGCGATCTTTCATAAATACTTTTCTGAAATTCGTGAATCTTAAAATTACCAAAACTATATAGGTTACATTGGACAGTAAAACTTTAATGCAACCTATATAAAATGTTATATACAATGCGAACTTGCTTTAATTTAAAAAAAAATCTTTTTTCTCTTTAAAAAGTCAGTTTTAACCGAATGGGTCATATGTTACCGTTCTGCAAAAGTGTTTAACTTTGACGAAATAATGAATTTTAAGTAAATTTTTGATACTACAAGAAAGTGCTCAAACTCAGATCGTAGTCAAAGTTTTCAAAAACTAATGCTAATGAATGATTACGCTTATTTTTAATCGTACACTTCTGACTGCATTGTTCTACGTTAGCATGGGGTTATAAAAGCTTATACAAAAAATAAAAATCAACGAAATGCGGCGATTTGTTTTTACCATAGCACAGCGGGTCAGGTGGTGGACAAAAGTAAATAAAATGCATTCTCAAAAATTACATTATTTTACACCTTTTTATAGCTTAAACATTCAACTTTTCTAAACTTTATATATTTTTCTATAATTCTATAATATCATGCTTCTAAGCTGTAGAATGAAAACCTTTTTTTTTAAAAAAAATGTTGCTTTACAATGGTTTGAGAGCTTTTTTATAAACAGACAGCAGATAAAAATATCCACTCAAAATTGCGGGAAACGCCCTCTAATTTTACTCAAAATTTGTAAAAAATATTATAACTTATTTATGCATTTAAATGTATGCAGAATTTAAAATTATTTGTTTATATAGTGATTTTTATCATTTAGGCCTTCAAATTTTGTATTTTCTTAAGGTAACTCAAAATTTATACCCTAACAACGCTCATAGCAACGGTGTAGCACCTTAATAAAAATTCTAATAACTAATGTATATTTTAAAAAGCTGCAGTAAAATGCTTGGTTTGGCTTCTTTACTCATCCAGCTAGCGAAAATAGTCTGGTTCATCAAGCTAAATTACAGTTTTCTGTTATTCTGAAGCACTTAAAACTTTCTTAATTTTTTTTAAAAAATGAGTAAAGCCTGTAGAATAAAATCAAGAACAATAATTAAAAAAAAGAGAAGAGGTTTCTTAGCGAAGAAATTTAACTCTCTCGACAAAGAAAATACTGAAATAAGGTTGAATGATAACCCTGCTGTAACAATTTTGACTGATTCAAATACTACAACTGTCAATAATAACTCTGTAAATAACGAATCTGAGTTAAATTTATTTTCTACATCTGTATCTGTGAAAAAGGTAAAGCCAATTGAATGTTCCAGAGCTCTTTCAAGAATGAAAATATCTGGATATAGGATTATAGATTGCTCTATATTATCTGACATATTAAATGCTTTAGCATGTCCTCAATGTGGTGAATGTTCATCCTTGTCATTGTCCGAAAAAATGCAAGACTAAAAAGGAATGCCTCAAAGTTAATTATCAAGTGCTATAACTGCAAATATGAAAATGAGTTTTATACTTCAAAACAATGTAACAGAGCATATAATATTAATTGTAGAACAGTATACGCAATGCATTCACTTGAACAGGAACATTCTGGTATATAAACCAATGACACAAAGAAATTATGATAAATTAGCTGTGAAAATAGGTGCTGTCACACAAAAAGTTGCTGAAGATACCATGTTTAATGCAGTAGCAGAATTGCGAAAACATGCTAATGATGATGTTTTTGATATTGGTGTGTCATGTGATGGTACTTGGCAGAAAAGAGGCTTTTCATCATTAAACGGTGTCTTTTCTGCATTATCAATGGACACTGGAAAAGCTTTAGATGTGGAACCAATGTGCAGGTTCTGCAAAGGTTGCTTTTTGAAGAAAGATCTTTTAAAAACAAACCCTACAGCCTAAGCCTAACGGAGAAACTCTCACATTTGTAAAAATAATTATAAAGGATCTGCAAGCGGTATGGAGTCCACTGTTACAAAACGTGTATTTTTAAGATCTATAGATAAGTACAAACTGCGATATGTAAATTTTTTAGGAGATGGAGACAGTAAAAGTATCATTAATGTCATAGACACTTATCCTGGCATTCAAGTTAATAAATTAGAATGCGTGTGACACTATCAAAAACGTGTTGGTTCACGACTACGAAATTTAAAGAAAAGAGAAAAAGGTCTCGGTGGACGTGGTTGTCTTACAGATGCAGTTATTGATCGTTTGGAAACTTAGCAGGTATGAAGGCAAGCGTATTGGCTACACTATTTCATATTGCATCTTCCAAAGCAAATAACTTGCACTTTTCTCACTGTCCTACCGGCATTAATAGTTAGTGCAAATTCAACTTTGATAAAGCAAATAATACCAACACTTACAAACCAGGTCCAGGTCTTCCAAAGAACATAATTTTTAAAATTAGACCCATTTTTTAAGGATTTTAGCAAAGATTCAGAACTAAAAAAGTATTTACATGGGAAAACCCAAATCGCTATTGAATCCTTCAACAGTATGATTTGGGACCGATTACCAATTTTTTTTACCGCATCATACACATCAAATAACTTGGTGTGTATGATGCGGTAACAAATTTCAATACTGGTATGAAAGCTTCAGTTTTTGAACAATTAAACATGTTACCAGGAGCTTTTATGGTTAAAGGCTCCACTAAAATAAACAATAAACGAATAAAACAATCTAAATATAAAATGAATGAAAAGAATAAGTTGAGACGTCAGCTAAATAGAACAAAAAAACTTGAAAAAAATGACAATAATTTGGAAAAAGAGGGCATAACATATGAACCAGAAAGATTTTAAATACTTTTTTTATTTAAAGAAGTTAATGATTGTTTTTTTGTTTTTTTTTACATGTTTGGTGTTATTTTAATTAAAAAAAATGTTAATTTGCTTTTTTCTCAGTATGAAGTATTTAAAACGCCGGCCAACATTGCTCGCCAACCATTCAAAAGCCGTTCATAAAATTTTCAGTGAATGTTTATTAAATGGTGTAGAGTGTTTCAAGTTGAACAGTTTTTTTTTTGTTTTTTTTACACCTGCTGTTTATGCTGTTTTATTACCATATTATTGAATATAGAACTTTGACTTCAAAATACCTGAATTTTTATTTGTAAAAAAAAAATTCTGTTCAACTTAAAACACTCTTCTACTCTATGTAAACACCATATAAAAGTTTCAACTAGGGTTATTTTGTTCCCTGCCCACAATATTGGCCGGCGTGAAACCTGTTTTTTGGCATTTTTTTAAGGTTTCCACAGCAACAGGTTACCATTTTATTTTTTAAATACTTTTTTCTTATTTTTTTAATATATGCTATTATATATGCTATTATATTTTTTATATATGCTATTATATTTTTTATAATTGACCAATATTTTTTTTGTAAAAATTGATTTAAAAATCAGAGGGGGTTTCCCCCTTAAAATTTTTATATATTTATTATTTGTGCTAAATTTGTTATTCGTACTGAAAAAAGTTCCTATGATATGTACGATATTTTATTTTATACATTGTAAACGAATCAATTTATATTATGATCACGTATTTATAATATTTTAATAAAAAAAAAATCAGGAAAATGTTAAATTGTAAAGCATTCTTATGGAAAAAATGGTCAAATACTAATAGTATTTTACACAAAAAAGCATATAACAAATACTCTAGTAAATATAAAGAAACATTATATACTTACCAAATGAGAGTAGAGCTAAATCTAGTTAAAGAAAGCGATATCGGCAAAGTTTTTAATCATGTTAATAACAAATTGAATATGTTTTAAAAAATTTTTTCCTCTAAAATAATAAAAATAATAATAACAAGATAACTTGTTGTAACGAAGAAACCAGTACATACCTAACATACTTGTGGAAAAATTAGCTTATTTTTTGTGAATTCCATTTTCAATTATACTTGATGCGGTTTTTAAGTTAAATTTTTTACCTAAACAATGGCGCCAAACTTTTGTATCTCCAATTTTTTTAAAAGGAGCGACTGCGGGTCCAAATAGTTATAGACCCATCACTGACATGCACTTATTGTCGCGTCATGGAATGATCAATGTGTATGTTATAGAATATCTAAGTAATCGTAGCTTAATATCTCATAATCAACATGGTTTCCTCAACAAACATTCCACCTGTACAAATCTCTTAGAATCTACTAATGATTGGAACACCGCACTCGATAATCACCAAATAACGGGGAAAAAATTTTATACATATTGATTTTTAAAAAGCGTTTGACTCTGCCTCACATCTCAAACCTTTGGTTAAACTTGCATTGTATAACATAGGAGGTAATCTTTTAAATAAGATTTCTGCATTTCTCACAGATATCAACAAGTCAAGGTCGGCAATTTTCTCTATAAAACTCAATACGCATTGTTAGTGGAGTTCCACAGGGTAGTGTGTTTTTCTTTAAATTTTATTGTAATATTACCTCCCTCATTATGCAAAGGTATAAAGGTATACTATACTTTGGATTGGTCTTTAAACCCAAAGGATCTATGAGTAGAGATTGACTGCAGCCTTAATTATAAAAACATATTTCTAACGTCATCTATCAAGCTAACTCAAGAGCATACTTAGTTTTGAAATGTTTTGAAACTCGCGACCCTTGTGTCATAGTGAGAACTTTCACTACATAAATACGACTAATTTTGGAATATTGTCCTCCAGTTTGGTTGCCACACCAAATTGGATTGATTGCGTCAGTTCAAAGTGTCCAACGAAAATTTATAAAGAAAATCAGGAACCTTAG